TGTTTTCTTTATATGTTATTTTAATTTTTCTGCTCAGAACTGCAAAGATGTACAAAGACGACAAGCAGTTTAAGTGAAACAAGTTTCGGTAGATAAATTTGGGCCGGATAAATCCAATTAAACAAATAGGTGGGCAATTCCCATTTCTATGTCACATGATTGGCTAGAATTAGCGATACAAGGAAACATGAATGATCATGACGGAAAAAACTTTCAATTCTGCTTGACCTAATGCTCATGGCCTTCCTAAAACCAATCTATAAGGGTAACAGTCGGTTCCATGTTTATGATATAGGCCAAAAGAACTAGTTATAACATAATTTAATTCTATAAAAAAACACTTAATTCGAAACCAAACGTGATTTGAATACCTTATCAAAGTGAATATTGGGTATTCAAATTTGATCAATTGAAAGTTCTTCCTCCTTCCAAAGACCACAAACAAGAAAAGAAAAGAAAAAGGTGCAATTATTAATTAGTTTAAGTAATTAATTAATAGGAAGAGGAGATCAAAGCAATTCCATTATAATTTCTTACCAAAAATATTATGGCATCTTTAGGTTAAAGCCATCCCATCATGGAAAAGGACATTAAAATGCCTCTAGGCATCTCCCATAGGCCGTAAGCCATATGTTGATAAAACAACCCCAAGAATATTAATGCATTAATAAAAAGGGCGAAATAGATTACCATATACAGAAGAAACAAGCAAATGACAATGCTTGGATGTGGAAGAAAAGTAATGTATGGAAGTAAGCTATTACTATCACACACGGATCCAACTTTGCCTCGACATTTCTTGGCACCAATCTAATCATACATCTTTAACGATACCCTAGCTAATTGTATTGTTCATTTGAAAAGCAAGTTGCTTTATTCAAAGAACAAAATCATGTGGCTCACATATATAGTTATAGTTTCAGGAGCCTTTGATTGGCTTAGAATGAGACATCTTGCATTCTAGCTATTCACAATCTTAACATGTTCCATCACTTTGCCTCAAGCTGTGAAAGAAGCATATACCTCTATATTCCATCATATATACGGATAACATTTAATATTTTATATTTTTATCGTTATTCTCGAGCCACGTAGTAAAGCTTGTTTTTTTTCATTTCCCTTTCATCCTTTTTACAAAAATATGATTAATATTAAATAGTATAAAAAAAATTTGAATCGTAAATTAAGTACTTCAAAGAAAACACTTATTTCCTTTTCTGTTTTTTTTTTTTTTATAATTGTGTGACTGTGAAAGGCTTAACAAAAGATAAAATTAAAAACATTTGATGTTTGCCACTTTACTCGAGAGCTAATACAAGTGGACTCATAGTTTATTAATTTTAAGAGAACATTAAGAGAAGTAAGAATTTATATTATATTACGAGGATCTTAAAAAGGTAATTTTTTAAGACATTCATTAAAAATTTGTCATATAATACCATACACTCTCAAACAGTAAACTAATTGATATTAATTAACACTCCTACCCCACTTTTCTTTTACCAAAAGGAGTCAAAATACATAATATATTCACAAATTGATATACATTTAATAAATCAATAAGATAAAAGGATAAACAAAGCGCATGAACATGATCCTATATCATGGGCTCACATTCTTTGTTTGTCCTGAGTGTGCCCAATATTTTGTCAAGGTAAAACCACCACGAAGAATTTATTGTCGCTTTTTTTTTTTTTCTTCTAATGATTCAAGCCACCAGCCAGCCATCAAGAATTTAATTTTTGTTTGCGTTTCACGTTCATGTGATAGATTTTTTCTTCCTCTCGTGGTTTCCAACTTCCCAAAGTCCTTACGAAACATGGGACCCATCTTCTTCACTGCGGGGCCTACCCTTTAGGTAAACCAATCGGCCGCAGGAATCGAGCCACGTATGACGAAAATTAGGAACACAAATAAGAAAAGCGGGCGCAACTGTCGAGGCGGAGCACACGCAAACTGACCGTCAACAGTTGCCACGTGGGCCTTTCCACCTTCCCTGCTCGAAACCTCCACCGAAACATCCCCTCCTCTGTCAAGGATTCCACAACCCTTTATAACTCTCTCCACCCAACCCATTCCTCTCAAAACAAATATTTCATCTTTTCCAGGAATTTTGATACGAAAAAAATTTCTTTTGATTTCATTTGCTTCATTCGGTTGTTGAGAAAATGGAGATTGTAACTTTGACAGGGTTACTGAAGAAGGCAGGGACGGAGTTCCCGAGCAGGAGAGCTTTATCCGTTTCCGGTAAATTCGATTTGACACATGCTCAATTGCAACAACTCATCGATCACGCCGCCTCTCTCCTCATTGCCTCCGGCATCAAGCCCGGCGATGTCGTCGCTCTTTCTTTCCCAAACACCGTCGAGGTTTGTATATTTTTTACGTTTCATCAATCAGATGAACTTGTTTAAAACATTAGATTCTATTTTTTGATGAGATAAATACGCAGACGAAATTATCAAAAATAAAATAAAAACATAATTTTCCTTCTATTTCCCTCTCATTCCTCTGTAACCAAACAAAAGCCAAGGCTTTTCCTCCGTAGATTTTAGGAACTTGTAAAAGTTAACAAAATATCTCCGTTATTAGGTTGAATATTTTTTTTGGTCAAAATTTATAAAATGTCAATGTCTATGAGCATTAGGTTAGAAAAATTAAAATTTGATATGTTTTTTCGTTTGTGGTGATCAGTTTTTGCTGGTTTGCTTGCGTCACAATTTACAAAGCAGCCAAACAGAGCCACGGAGCTCTTTTGTTTAATTGTTATTAAATAAATAACAATTCTGTTTTTTTTTTTACAGTTTGTGATAATGTTCTTGGCTGTAATTCGCTGTCGAGCGACTGCGGCGCCGTTAAACTCGGCTTACACCGCGGAGGAATTCGAGTTCTACCTTTCTGACTCAGAATCCAAACTTTTATTAGTCCCAGCCGAAGGCATCAAGTCGGCTCAAGCTGCCGCTTCCAAGCTCAACATCCCCCACGTGTCCGCCACTCTCAAAGACGAAAATTCTAAAGTAACTCTTTCCTCTGACCCCGACTCACATCTTGACTCAGTCCACCAACTCGTTAACGACCCTGCTGACGTCTCACTTTTTCTCCACACTTCCGGGACCACCAGCCGCCCCAAGGGTGTCCCTCTGACTCAGCTCAATCTAGCCACCTCTGTTTTGAACATTAAAACGGTTTATAAACTCACTGAGTCTGACTCGACCGTCATCGTTCTCCCGTTATTCCACGTGCATGGCTTGTTGGCTGGCTTACTGAGTTCACTGGTTTCAGGAGCCGCTGTGGCTCTCCCAGCAGCTGGGAGATTCTCGGCTTCTACATTTTGGACGGACATGATTAAGTATAATGCCACGTGGTACACTGCTGTCCCCACGATACACCAGATCATATTGGATCGCCACGAGAGCAAGCCCGAGCCGGCTTACCCCAAGCTGAGGTTTATTAGGAGCTGCAGCGCATCGTTGGCACCGAGTGTATTGGCTCGGCTAGAGGCGGCATTTGACGCACCGGTGCTAGAGGCTTACGCCATGACGGAGGCCTCTCATCTCATGGCTTCAAACCCGTTACCCGAATGTGGCCCGCACAAGGCCGGCTCTGTTGGGAAGCCTGTTGGGCAAGAAATGGCTATTTTGAATGAACAAGGGGAAATTCAGCCACGCAACGCTAATGGGGAGGTTTGCATTAGGGGATTAAATGTGACAAAGGGTTATAAGAACAATCCTGAGGCTAATAAATCAGCTTTTCTATTTGGTTGGTTCCACACTGGGGATATCGGGTTTTTCGATTCGGATGGATACTTGCATCTCGTGGGTAGGATCAAGGAGCTCATCAATCGTGGAGGTATGCATTTTGTGCTTACCATTCTAATAATGCGTTACATAAAAGTTTCTATATTTAGAGTCAATTGCTACATTAAATGCGTACATATTTCTTAAAATATCATCTTAACAAATGAATGTCAGAATGTTAATGTGATGTTTGGTCTGATAATGTTCAGGTGAGAAAATATCACCAATTGAAGTGGATGCAGTGCTATTGTCTCATCCTAATGTTGCACAAGCGGTTGCCTTTGGTGTCCCAGATGAGAAATATGGAGAAGAGGTAAGAAATCATCTCTCTCGTGTGCCAAAACGCTGTGTAGAAAAACATGTATGGTTGTCATACTGAATTAGCTGCTTGTCTTAATGGCTAAATTTCTCTCTGTTTCTTTCAAATGTAGATAAATTGTGCAGTGATCCCAAGGGAAGGAGTAAGCTTGGAAGAGGCTGAAATTTCGCAATATTGCAAGAAGAACCTTGCAAGTTTCAAAGTCCCCAAGAAGGTTTTCATCACTGATTCCTTGCCCAAAACTGCTACTGGGAAAATCCAACGGCGGATTGTAGCAGAGCATTTTTTGTCTCAAATGTCCGCTGCCAAAGTTCCCAAATTCGGAGCTTAGTTCAGCAATGCTCCCTACATTTATCGTTTGCTTCGAACTTCTTTGGAGCTTTGCCTGTTGGGCAATGGCCAGGTTACTTAGTTACAGAGTTAAGTGGCTGTAGTTTTCTTTTTCCTTTTCTTCTTAGAGTTAAAAGTTGATTTTTATAACAGACAGATGACATGTAATTCTGATTTCAAATTATTTAGATGTCCACAGTTAATAAATACTTTGATATAGTCCTTTTTTCATTAATGGAACACCCCTGTGGTTTCATCATCACCTACAATTATCTCCACTTATCTTAACTGAAATACTATATATGTAGTTCTTGCAATAATTTTTCTTTCCCTGGAAAGTTACATGTAACCATACAAATCATGGAGAGACGTTCCCATTTGGGCAAGAGGACATCAAAGCGGTAGTTGACAATGACAAAGCAGCCAACAAAGAAATGATGCATGTCTTTTTTCTTTTTTGAAAATATTTTAGTACCTGAATCAATCACGAGAGATGCAGCAATGCTTGGAGTACATATATTAAGAATTGAGTTGGTTATGTCTCTACATGTTTACATCCTATTTTAAATTAACCCCATTATCAACATGTTAAAATCTGTGTCTAAGGGTGCAAGACTGCAAGTGTTTTATCTAGTTGATTTACCACAACATTTTGGTCAGAGTCAATAGAGGAAAAGTGATGATAAAAAAACAGGTGGAAGAAACCATTTACTTTGAGGGGAACTTATCTGCGCTGCCATTTGACATGCTTGATCTTAGTAGTGTGGTCTGGGCTGCTGTGCTACACTTGGGTCATGCCTTGTTCCGTGGATTGAGTAATCTGTTTGCTCTGTCAAAGTTAGATGTAGCAGCCATTAAAGGGGAGTAGTATTTCAAAGCTAACCCGTGGGAGTCTGACTTGAGAATATTCAACCTGAGCGACTCAAGGGGCAGGGCTGCGTTACAATGGGCCGAGATTCGAGACCAGCAAAGTTGAAGACATCATTAGCCTGGATTTTCCCAGTGCCCTGGTACCCTTAGAGTCACTTTCATCGACTCCTAACTTCAGTTTGGAACTATCTCTAGTACCTAATTTTATGTATGGTTTTTCAATTTCCTTTCAATTATTGGGGGTTTTAGAGAAAATTAAACTTCAAGTTGCATCCAAAAATTTAATTTATTAATTAATACATTATTTCCCTACTTAAAAAGCAAATTCGAATATCTTCTCCTTAAATTGAAAAAAAAACCCTCTAGTTACAAAGCTCAACGAGGTTTGAATTGTGGGCTCTTTCACCTTGTCTCAGCGTCAATGTTGATTAAACAATGTACCAACGGAGTTGGCTGTTTACGTCTACTTTGTACATTTGTTTTGTTAAGGTTCTTACAATGATACAGTGAAAAAAGAATAAATTTTTTGAAGCTGATCTAGTTGACAAAGAAACAAGGGACAAACCCTTTGCAGGGATTTGGAAGTGAATCAAATAACGAGAAATAAATCTGAACAAAAGCGGCGTCGTAGGGTGGTAGATTACATTTCTCGTTGGCTCCTGTTTCGGCATTTGCTCACAATCTCACCGGTATACATCCTCTGAGGCAGAAGAGTGGGAAACGCAGGAGACAAAAATATCGTTCTGAAAGTTATAAGTATTCTGTAAGTCGTTAAAGCTTCTCATCTTCTCTTCTTTATGCTTATCGATTCATTCTCCACCTTTCCTTTTGGAGCACACTAGACCCATTTAACAGTGACGGAATCCAAGTCACATGAGCCATTTTTTCATACCCAGATGGTCATTTTTCACTGACCCAATCTAATTTGAATCCTATCACTTAATATAACTTGGTTTGATTGGCTGACGATGGCAATTCTATGATTACAGTCAAGTTAGTTAGTTGGGCGGTGCTCAGCTAGACTACAGTTATACAGACAGGTATGTGTCTTTCGTGGTTGTAGATGCTAAAATGCTTTTGTTATGAAAGTTAGAAATAGTTTTTGAAATTGTTTGATCTGTTTGTGTTCCGTCCAATTTGCAATTGAAGCATTTAATTCGGTTGCATAAAGATGGAAGTGACCAAGGGGAAGTATGCTGCTGATCTCTCCTCCATCAGAGAAGCACAAGCACGCATCAATTCATTCATACACAAAACTCCAGTCATGACCTCGGAGTCTCTAGATGCTATTTCTGGAAGGAGGTTATTCTTTAAGTGTGAATGTTTCCAAAAGGGGTGAGAAACTAATTAATGGCAAATGGTAATCATTGTTACTTGATTTATTCTTGCTGATGTTTGCAAATACTCCAGTATTTGTCTATCCGAATTAAGACTCTCCTATATGTTCCTTTACAGGGGAGCATTCAAATTCAGAGGTGCTTGCAATGCTGTATTTTCACTTGATGACCATCAGGCAGCTAAAGGTGTTGTAACACATAGCAGGTGTACTTTAAGCCCATCTGTATCCCTTCATCAATAATCTTGAATTGTTTCTTTCCCCTTAAAAATTTTATTGGAACATAACTAATTGCATTCCCCAAAATTAGTGGTAACCATGCTGCAGCATTAGCATTGGCTGCAAAGTTACGTGGGATCCCTGCACATATAGTTATACCAAAAAATGCTCCACAATGCAAAGTTCAGAATGTTGTGCGTTATGGCGGTCAGGTTATATGGAGTGAGGCAACAGTGCCTTCAAGGGAGAAAACTGCAACCAAAGTGTTGCAAGAAACTGGAGCTGTACTTATACATCCGTATAATGATGGGCGAATTATAAGGTAGTATACTTAACATTTCTATATATTTTTCTCCCATGTGTTTCTAAGCTTGGAATGTTATCATTTGATGTTATATCAGTGAATTAGATGACCTGGACTGCTTTTTCAGTGGGCAGGGTACCATATCCCTTGAGCTTTTGGAGCAAGCCCCTGAGATAGACACTATAATAGTTCCCATAAGCGGTTTGTGTTGCTACTTTCTCTTGTCAATTTAATGGTTTTTTGTCCTGCATCATCATCTTTTGTCAATGTCCAACGTTTTGGTCTTTTTTTTCTGTCAAATAGAAATAAATATTGAAAATTTGCAGGAGGTGGCTTGATATCAGGGGTGGCTTTGGCTGCCAAGTCCATCAATCCTGCCCTTCGAGTTTTGGCTGCTGAACCCAAGGGAGCTAATGATGCAGCGCAATCAAAAGCAGTTGGTAGAATTGTAACCTTACCTGAAACAAATACAGTAGCTGATGGGCTGAGAGCTTTCCTTGGTGAACTCACCTGGTAAAGGCCATTCCATGGTGTCTTATTGTTACCGCATTATATAGTTACTTGTGTATCCATTCTTTCCTCATGTTTGCTTATATATGGCACACTATCAGCACAATCACTGCTCGTTAGCTTATAGGAACCATATTACTTGTTTGTCTATAACTTTCAGTTTGTCTCTTGCTTTAAGTTCCTCATTCTATGGCTTCTGATTGATTAGGCCCATAGTACGAGATCTTGTTGATGACATTATAACTGTGGATGATACGGAGATAATAGAAGCAATGAGACTGTGCTATGAGATTCTTAAAGTTGCAGTTGAACCAAGTGGAGCCATAGGCCTTGCTGCTGTCTTATCTGATAGTTTCAGGAACAACCCTGTGCGGAAGGATTGCAACCAAATAGGAATTATACTTTCTGGAGGTAATGTAGATCTTGAAGTGCTGTGGAGGTCATTTAGAAAATGAAAGTTAAATTTGTTATTGCTCCAACGTAAACATTTTCTTTCCTTTCAAATTGAGCTCGGTCTCTTAATGCTGAAGTAAAATCCAATTAATCCCTTGAAGAATTTCTTTTTGTGTTGTTGTTCTGCTTATGCTCTCTGCTGGGCAATAGAGAACATTGCTTAGCTATTCAATGCAAAACGTTTTTTTGAAGGTATTGCGAATCAGAAGACTTGAGACTCTGTTTGTGCTTTTAAAGCATGGAAAAAACATGGGGAATTGCTAGTTTAAGATATCTATTGCCCAGAGCCACAGCCCTCAAGGGCCATAATCATATTTTCTACCTGCATTCGATCAGTTTATGAACACTAGACCCAGCAAAAGCTAGAAAAGAGCCTATGCCTTAAATATTTGAGACTTATGGTCAAACAATGGTCCAAGTGAAGTCCGTTTGTGAATATTGGCAATATTATAACCTATGCTTGAAACTTGTGATCTCTGATTGGAATTTACGTATATGTTCTATCGTCTTTAACTGCAATGGCTTATTATTAGATGTGTGCTACCTCCGAGGTCTACCCACTACCGCCATGTTTATAATCAATTTACGATGTTATAAAACCAATACCTGCAAGTTGACAATATTCTAGAAATGGGTTCGCTTAACATTTGGCTTCAGTTTTTGTACGTTGAATTTGAGAGAGAAACAGGCTGTTGAAATTACTGATAAAAAAGAAAGCAGCAATACAACAAAGCACTCTGTCAATCACTAAATTGTGGAGGCAGGAAAAAAGTCGAAGAGAAAATTAACGAAGCAAGTGATACAAACACCATAAACAGGCAATGCGAGATTGCATCAACAGACTCCACATGCACAAAAATATCCCAAAGCACGACGAAAGCATCCAAATATCCTACAGGCTACAAGAACAAGGGGCAAGCATAGTCCAATTCCATTCTGTTTTAAGTCTATTCCTCATATTCTTCCTCCTCTTCCTCGTACTCCTCGTCATCTGCAGTTGCATCCTGGTATTGCTGGTACTCTGAGACCAAATCATTCATGTTGCTCTCAGCTTCTGTGAACTCCATCTCATCCATTCCCTCTCCAGTGTACCAATGCAGGAAAGCCTTCCTGCGGAACATGGCGGTGAATTGCTCACTGACCCTCCTGAACATCTCTTGAATCGAAGTAGAGTTCCCAATAAATGTGGAAGCCATCTTCAAGCCGTTAGGAGGGATGTCACAAACAGTGGACTTTACATTGTTTGGAATCCATTCAACGAAGTATGATGAGTTCTTGTTTTGCACATTGATCATCTGCTCATCCACCTCTTTTGTGCTCATCTTGCCACGGAACACAGCTGATGCTGTCAGGTATCGACCATGTCGAGGATCAGCAGCACACATCATGTTCTTTGCATCCCACATTTGTTGAGTAAGTTCAGGGACAGTGAGGGCTCTGTACTGCTGGGAACCACGAGATGTGAGAGGTGCAAATCCAACCATGAAGAAATGTAGCCGAGGGAAAGGGATGAGGTTTACGGCAAGCTTGCGGAGGTCTGAGTTTAGCTGACCAGGGAAGCGAAGGCAGCATGTAACACCACTCATAGTGGCAGAAATTAGATGGTTGAGATCTCCAACTGAACATCAAATATTGTAAGTTAGTTTCCATACAGAGAGTATGGAAATAAATATTGAAAATTTTTCTTTAAATATCCAAAAACTAGTTGCTCTGCTTTAGACACGCATGTCAAATACTAAAACAGATTTTGGCCATTACCATACACCATACTGCTATTAAACTACTCAAGATCGACAAATAGAAAGCCCCATTCCATTTGATAAAGACAAGAACTACAGCTGAAGTTATTATTTAAGCATACTACAACCAGTCCGACCTAATCTGTCTAAACTATATGGCCAAAGTCTATGAAAGCGAGACCCATGTGAAATCGCCATTGTATTCGTGCAAACGGATAACACTTACATCAATGAAGACAGTACTAACCCAGAGGCTCACTAAAATGCTAGTATCGATGATAAACTTATCATAAACTAAGCATAGGTTGATTGACGAACCATATAATCCTACTATTATAAATTTTAACTTATAAGTACCAGACTCTATATTATATAACTAAAACTTACCTAGACATTCCCGAAATGGCAAAACCAATACATGTCAGTCTAATCTCTTCCTTAGATAAGTGCTCTAGAAAATGAGACCCATGTGAATCCCAACTGTATTTGTGCAATTAGTTTTCAAAGACAGAGAAGAGAGTTTAAGATTCAAGTGTATGACCTCACAGGTTTTAAGTTTTAACCCTCCCAAAGTGGAGTCTGATGAGAAGGTTATGGATCTCATCTTGACATTGACAATTCAGACACAACTGACGCAACAAGTTCCATATGGAGAGGTACGATTGTACCCAATGACGAGAAAGTCGCTTGTTCCTAGCTTCAACTAGAAAATAGATGTAAATAGAATACTAATTCTAGATGGATAAAGTTGGATTCATCAAACAAGACTTAATTATCAACTACCCAAATACCAAACGCACTCACAAACAATTACCCATGCCTTCTAATCTGATTAATAATAAAAAAGACATGATTATGTCACGCTAATACCTAAAATGTTACTAAAATAATACTACTAACAATATACTTATAACAAAATAATTTGTAAATCAATTTGTTCCAATCTCATTTCTCCCAACCAAACAAACTTAAAAATGTCAACAGTTGCAGCAACAGCAAATGAAAACAAACTTCAACGGCAAGAAACCAAAAACTACTTACAACTTGGAGTGGTGAGCTTGAGAGTACGGAAGCATGTCATAGAGGGCTTCATTATCAAGAACCATACACTCATATCCGCATTTTCCCACAGCTGATGAACAGAAAGTGTCGCGTTGTAAGGCTCAACAACAGTATCTGAAACCTTAGGAGATGGGAATACCGAAAATGTAAGCATCATTCGATCCGGATACTCTTCCCTTATCTTGGATATCAACAACGTTCCCATTCCCGAACCCGTTCCTCCTCCCAAGGAATGGCATACCTGAAACCCTGTAACCAAACAACCCCATATTTAAAATAAAATAAATTGATAACTGAACAGAACCTCTACAAAATGCAAAACTTACCTTGAAGGCAGTCACAGTTCTCGGCTTCCTTTCTGAGACGTCGAGAACCGAGTCGATAAGCTCCGCCCCTTCCGTGTAATGTCTTTAGCCCAGTTGTTTCCGCCGGACTGTCCGAAAACGAAGTTGTCGGGTCGGAAAATCTGTCCGTACGGACCGGATCTTACGCTATCCATGGTACCGGGTTCGAGATCCATTAAGATGGCGCGGGGAACAAATCGGCCGCAACTGGCTTCATTGTAGTAGACGTTGATGCGCTCCAGCTGGAGCTCCGACTCGCCCTGGTATCTACCCGTTGAGTCGATGCCGTGTTCGGCGCAGACGACTTCCCAGAACTTGGCACCTATTTGGTTGCCGCATTGGCCACCTTGGACATGGAGGATTTCTCTCATTTTCTAGAGAAAGTGACGGAAACTTGAAGAGGAAAGCGAAAAATATACCTAAGAATATAGACGAACCGGAACTGAGTGAACTTTTTTGATGGGGGGAAATGGGGTTGAGAGAGGTTTTATAGAGCACTTAACGGTTTCCGTTAGTTGGCGGCAGATGGTTTGACAGTCAGTTAGTGACGGACGTTTTGTTTGAGTGGGAACTTGAATTTTGAAATTGGGTTTTGGTTCAGTGCTGACGAGTAACTGTTAAAATTACCGAAGTTGATTACGTGGTTTTCTTTCATTGGACAGTCAGAGGAGGAGTCTTGAAACCGGCCTTACCAGATGCTCAACGTTACATTATTATATGCATCCCAAGGAATGAGAGATAGAATACATGGGCCCGCAGGCCCGCAGGCCCACAGAGAGTTAGTAAATTACTCTGAATAGAAAAATGCATAGAGTGCTATATTAGAGTAGAAAATACCATTGAAATTGGTATTTAAATATTTAAAATTGGTTATCTTAACCTTACAAAACATAAAATCCCCAAAGCTAATATGTATTAAAATAATTTATAATTTAAATATGATTCTACTAAATCTGTGCCAAGTATCAAAAGCTCAGAATCGTGCCTACTTTTTTTATGTCAGTTGAGCTTTTGGTCTTGCCGGTAGGAATGAGAGGGCACATGCTAGGGTGGGTATTGTGCAACTGAAGCTACAAGGTTTTGATTCCATGGCTACATGCTACAAGGATTTGAGGAGAGTGGAGAGTGGAAACCATCACTTTTTTGTTTGGAAACTTGCATTTTACTCTCTGAAATTGTGATCCTCTGCTGACAAAGGTTAGACCTTTGACAGTGTGGGATTGAAAGGGGTTATCAAAGCTGATAAACATTGACAGCTGGAAGAGAAATTCCAAGGGTTTTTAATCATGTGAGCAATGGTGATCCTAATTCCTGAGGAGCCTTGGGTACAAAGCAAACTACATATCCACCTCTTTGCTTCATGGGGAGGGCTCATCTTCTGGGATGAATCCAAAAACTTCAATCATTTTGCTTACCTAGTCGAAATTTCTTCAAATATTGCATCAGGTTGCTTGACACTCAATCTGCCAATGATGGCCTCCAAGATGCTCTTATAATTGAATATGTGGACTCTTACAAAAATAATTTGATAGTCTGCACTGGATAGCTATTTTTGCTCTTATATTTTACTAAATATGTATTGAATCCTTGTATAAATTTGAGGGGATGACCCTCCAGAATGTTTAGGACATTAAATATATTGATCTGGGACATGTCCATTCTCCACTACTTGTACAAGAATTTGCCCTGGAATTTAACAGTTGAAGAATGAAAAAAATGGTCTTGGAATTATCTGATAAAGAATAGTTTTGCGAAAACTTCGCAACCATAGTCTTAGTTAGGCCATCAAATCACCAAATTTTGCCCCCTCATGTCTTGCATTGATGTCACTCTTCAGCAACGTACCAAATGCCTTTTTCCGAGGCTTTTTAATGCTCAAACTCCTTTTGCAGCCAAAAATAGCAAGCCAAAGCACCTGTTTGAACCTGTAAAAACATTTGCAAGAGAGAGAAAAT